CTTTCTGCTCTCCCTCTCCGCGATCGTCTACCCCTCTTTCTCCCATTCCTGTCCCTTTTTTCCCTTGCTTACAATAAAACACGCAAAAAATTCAAAAAGAGACAAACCAACCCGCAAATATCCACATAGGGTGCTCCAGGGCGTGGTCCGTCAGAGGAAGAGAGAGACGAGAGAGAGAAGGAGAGGAGAGCGGAATGGAGAGGAGAAGAGGGAGTAGGAGATGAGGGACCGGGGTGGGAGACGGAGGGACGGGAGGGAGATGAGAGAGGAGGAGGAGACTGAGAGAAGGAGAGGAGAGAGAGAGACGAGAGGGAGGCCGAAGGGAGAGAGCGAACGACCGAAGAGAGAAGAGAGAGAGGGAGGAGAGGAGGAGGAGAGAGACGGAAGAAAGGAGAAGGGAGAGGGAAGAGGACGAGAAGAGGGCGGGACGGGAGGCACGGGAGGGAGACGGGGGGGATAGGGAAAAGAAGAAAAAGAAGAGGATGAAGGGACAAGAAAGAGAGAGAGATAGAGAAGGAGAGAGAAGAGAGATGGAGAGATGGAGAGAGTGAGAGAGCACGAGAGAGAGAGAGAGAAAGAACCAGGGCAGAGAGGAGGACGAGAGACGAAGGACGAGAGAGAGAGACGGAAACAAAAGCCCTCGGGAAGAAATGACACTGAATTTAATACGTTGACACATTTCTTGCTGTGGTTGAATTCTCTTTCGCTCGTTGACGTGTTCTTGTAATTTTGGTTTCGTAATTTCTTTTGTTATATGTTATTTGTCACAAGTGTTATGTCGATAAATTCACCGTCGGTACCATTAGATATAATCCAAGAAAAAAAAGTAAAAAACAAAAATGAATAATAAAAAATCATTTTATTATATATATAACTAATATATATTATATATATATAATATTATATATTATACATATAAACATATATACATATATATAATATATTATATATATATATATATATATATATATATCATAATACATATTATATATATATATATTATATATATATATATATATATAGTATTACAGATATATATATGTATATATATAATATATTCATCAACACATTCGGTTATTCATGCGTTCCTTCGTTTCTGTAATTATGTTATTCATATGACCTCTTCTTGAGTTTCTAGCTGCTTTGTTATGCAACATGCAATTGAAAATCCACAATAACCAACAGTTTTTGGACGGAGGAAGGGAGGAGAAGAGAGACAAGAGAGAAAAAATAGAGAAAGAGAGGGGATGAGAAGGAAGAGTGAAGAGAGGGAAAATAGGGAGCGAAGAGAGGAGAAGGGAGAGAGAGAGAACGATGAGCGAGAGGAGAGAGAGACGAGAGGGAGAGACGAGAGCAGAAGATGAAGAGAAGAGAGAGAAAGAGAGAGAGAGTGAGAGAAGAGAGAGAGAGAAACCATAAACACAAACTTTAATCCCCCAAAAGTACAACGCAATTTCCAGCGATCGAAATGCTGATCGTGAACTGGCACTGTCACCCCCCCCCCTCTTCTCTCTCTCTCTCCTCCTCTCTCTCTCTCCTCTCCTCTCTCTCTCTCTCTCTCTCTCTCCTCTCTCTCCTCTCTCTCTCTCCTCTCATCTCTCTCTCTCCTTAATGAAAATGTGAAATACTAAAATCAAAGAAGAATTTTTTAAAAAAATACATATATGGACGGGAAAAGAGAGGGCAAAGAGAAAGGGCGAATGAAAAGAATAAGAAAGTAGGAAGCATGGCGAAAGAAAAGCGAAGGAGATAGATAGAATAAATAGACAAGAGCTAGGAGGCGCGGAGGGAAGAGAGGGAGAGAAAGAGGGAGTTTTATAAATTCAGAAAGAGAGAGAGAAAAAAGAAAAGATGAGAAAGAAAAACAAGGAATAAAGGCAGACAGAAACAGGCCAGCGGAGGAGGGAAAAACAGGTGAACTTCGACTCCAAGGTGACAAACTTTCCCTCCTTTGTGGCGGCTCTGCGCGACAGTCCAGAAGGCCTCGGAGCAGGAGTAAGGAAGGAGGAGGAGAGGGAGGGAGAAGGGAGGCAAGGGGAGGGAGGAGGCCAAGGGGGGAGGGTAGGGAGAGCAAGGGAGAGGGAGGGAGGGGGAGGGAGGGAGTGAGGCCAAGGGACGAGAGGAGAGGGAGGGAAGGGAGGGAGGATTGAGGAGGGAGGGGGAGGGATTGAGGGAGGAGGCAAGGGAGACGTGGGGGGAGGTAGCGACGGGCGACGTAAGAGGGGAGGGGGAGGGAGGGAGGAGGCAATGGTGGGAGGATGGAAGGAAGAGGAGGCATGTAAGGGAGGGGGAGAGGAGGGATCAGGAGGAGGGATTGAGGGAGGGGGAGGAAGGAGGAAGAGAGGTAAGAAGGGAGGGAGGGAAGAAGTAAGGAGGCGAGGGCAGGAGGTAAGAACGAAGAGAGGGAAATATGAAGGAAGGAAAAGGCAGGGAGTTAGACAAGGGAGAGGGAGAGAGAGAGAGGACGAGAGAGGAGAATGAGAGAGGTGAGAGAGGAGAGAGAGGGCAGAGAAGAAAACAGAGACATTAGTCACCTCCGTGGTAATGACACAGGAAGTTGGTCATTGTAAGGACAGCCCAGCACTCACGCGTCCTCCTCCATTCACACCGACGTCGCCTCCTCATTACGGCCGACAGCTACACCAGCTACACCGACCTCACACCCTCAAACGCCGACCTCGCTAACGATTCTCCTCATCGGGATAGTAAGGAAGACCGAATTGTCAACGTCACAACCCCCCCCCCCCCCCCCCGAGTGTTTTTTTTTTTAAATCGTCGACCTCGAACATTTCTCCTCGTGAACTTTGTGAACGACGAGGCATCTGCGCGTGAACATCTCATTTCGATTCCATCTTTTATTCATCGTCTATTCATTTAGATCTTATCAGTGTTATTTATCCATTATCTGTGCTTATCATTTTTTGTATGTAACTACGTACTTATCCTTTCGTTCACTAACAAGCAAAGCAAAGCACAGCAAATAAGCAAGCACAACAAACAAACAAGCACAGGGATGAAAACACAAGCACAGCAATGAAAGCACAAGAAGAACAAACAAACAAGCACACCATGAAAGCACAAGCACAAACAAACAAACAAGCACAGAAAATAAGGCAAGGACAACAAACAAGCACAGCAATTAAAGGCCTTCCAAAGAAAAACGTCGCGCGCACTCTGCACTCACGCGGGTGTGTTGCGCGCCGCGCGTGGGGGGGGGGGCGTGGGTAGACTGGAAGTGCCTCGGCGAAGGGAATGAATGCAAAAAAGGGAAAAGAAAGTTTCGGGAAAAATGAAAAAAGGCGAACGAGACAGATAAGTGATTTCTGGACTCGAATTTACGGCTCGAGTAATAAGAATAAAAATGAAAAAAAAGAAAGAGAAAGAAAGAGAAAAAAAAAAAGAAGAAACGAAAAATGAAAAAAAAAAAATGCAATTTATCTAAAACGACATTTTTCGAAAAAGAGCAGCCCCGAGGAGTGAGTCAAACGATGACACGATTGGATGACACGTCGACACGAGGGCGAGGACAGGAGAAAAGGACGACCACGAGGGCTGAGGACAGGAGAAAAGGACGACACGAGGACGAGGACAGGAGAAAAAGGACGACACGAACGACGACGACGACGGCACCAAGAGCCGAAGATGCAGGCAGGACTTAAGGTTTTCTTATCCCCGTCGGCGTCCGGCCCCACGATAAAGTTTTTTTATTGACCTATTGTTCCCCTCGGGATCACGACCTCCCCCGTGCTAGAGGGGAGGGGAGGAGGGGAGCCATGGAGGGGCCGCAGGAGGAAGTGTGGGGGGAGGGAGGGAGCGAGAGCCGGGAGGAGAAGGAGGGGAGGCTGAAGAGTGGGAGAGGGAAGAGGGAAGAGGGAAGAGGAAAGAGGAGGAGGAGGAGAGGAAGAGGGAGGAAAAAGAGGAGAGAGGAGGGAGAGGGGAGTGGGAAGAAGTGGCGGGAAGGAGAAAGAAGGAGATGGGGAAAGGAGGAGGAAGTGGAAGAAGCAGGAGGGGCTGAAGAAGAGGAGGAGAGAAAAGGAGGGGGAGACTGCGAAAGAGGCGTGAGGAGGAGTGAGGAGAAGGAGAGGCGAAGAGGATCAGAAAAACGGTCTCGGGCCAGGCCGGCAGAGGAAAGCAGGAGTCTTCTAGAAGAGGAAGGGAAGGAGGAAGAGGAGAGGCGGAAGAGGAATGAAGGGGATAAGGAGAGGCGAAGAGAAAAGAGGGGGGGAACGCGAAAAAAGGTCGTGACCTCCGCTAACCTCACCTTCCCTCCATACAAAAGCCACCCGCTATTCTACAGAGGCGCGCACGGAACTAAACGCACTGAGGACGAAACATGAAGCCACGCACACCACATTCGTATGCGTGTGTGAAATGCCAGTATATGGCATGTTTTCTTAGACACAAGACATACAGCACGCTCATTCACTCACTCTTTCCCTCCCTCCCTCTCTCCCTTCCCCTTTCTCTAACTCCCTCCTTCTCCCCCTCTCTCATACACGCACACAAACACAGAAATACGCACACACGTACAGTCCATACACCTCAAGCAAGCAGACCAACAAAACAAAGCTTTTTTCAGCGACCATCCCAGGACCCCAACCAATGCCTAGTTGATTTTTGTTGTGTTTTGTTGTTGCAATAGTAATAGTAACCAGTAGTAACAATAAATATAATCGAAAAAGTAATGTAAATAATGCCAGTAACAACAATGGTAATATTAATAATACTAATGAAAGGAGAGATAGATAGATAGACCGATAATCCCAGAACGAAAGCAAGGGCAAAACGAAAACACAACACACACAACACACACACACCACCAACCACACACACACACACACAACACCACACACCACACACACACACACACACCACACCACACACACACACACACACACAACACACAACACACAAGAATAAAGCTAAATATGATATAAAAAAAAGAAAGAAAGAAAAAACACTATTGCTTTTCATTACCAAGGACAAACACTACTCACCATATATGCCGGGTTCTAACCGAATCACAAACCGTCTCCGGGAAGAACAAATCTGTGACCTGAAAAGAGGAGGAAAAAAATTTAATCAGATTTGAATTTTAAAACCAGTTAAATATTGCCCCCACCACCAAAAAAAAAAAAAAAAAAAAAAAAAAAAAAAAAATATATATATACATATATATTTCTTCTGATATAAAAAAAGACATATCGAAGTCTAAAGCTAAAGAAAAACGAAGAAAATTCTAGATACACAAAAAAAGGCCTACTCCCTTTTGTGTAAAAAGAGAAAAAAAAAGAGATAAAACATGGGGGGGAGGCAAGTACTAACAAGACTGAAAGACCGGATGCACGAATGTAAAGGGAGAGGGAGGGGGGTGTGAGGTACGAGGAAGGAAAAGGGGCGTGAATGGAGAGAAGGAGAAAAAAGAGGAGATAGGAGGAAGCGAAGTGGAGGAACGGAGGGTGGGGGGAAAATAAACAGGGGAAAAGAGAGGAGAGAGGGGGGGGGGGGGTAGACAGGGAAAAGAGGGGGGAAATAGACAGAGGAAGGGAAAGGCGGGAGAGAGAGAGAGAGAGAAATAGAGAAACAGAAAGAGAGAGAGGAGAGAGAGAGAGAGAGAGGAGAGAGAGAGAGGAGAGAGGAGAGGAGAGAGAGAGAGAGAGAGAGAGAGAGAGAGAGAGAGAGAGAGAGAGAGAGAGAGAGAGAGAGAGGACAGAGAGAGACAGAGAGAGAGAGAAGGAGAGAAAGAGAGAGAGAGAGAGAGAGAGAGAAAGAAAGAGAAAGAGAGAGAGAAAGAGAAAATAAATAGAGAAACAGAGAGAAATAGAGAGACAGAGATAGATAGATAGACAGACAGATAGACAGAGGAGGGGGGGGTAGGGCCAGTATCACGTAGAACCGATGACGAGTTGTTCGCCAGCACTTCCGAGAAATAGAGAGAAATAGAGAGAAAATAGAGAGAAATAGAGATAGATAGATAGATAGATAGATAGACAGATAGATAGAGAGGGGGGAGGGGTGGGGAGGCCAGTATCACGTAGAACCGATTACGAGTTGTTCGCCAGCACTTCCGAGAAATAGAGAGAAAGAAATAGAGAGGAAATAGAGAGAAATAGAGAGAAAATAAAGATAGATAGATAGACAGATAGACAGACAGATAGACAGATAGACAGAGGAGGGGGGGGAGGGCCAGTATCACGTAGAACCGATTACGAGTCGTTCGCCATCACTTCCGGCGCGGCACTCGAGGGCGGTCTCCCACGGTGGAATGCGTCGGGCTCGTGGGCGAAGGGCGGAGAAACGGCGAAAATGGATAAACGGAATGCGAAATGAAAGAAACGAGGAAAGGGAAGGACTGAAAGAAAAAATGAATGATGATAGTTGTAAAATATAGTGCGGATAGATGTTCTTTTTTTTTTCAGCAGATGAGGAAAATAAAGTGAATACAAAAACAAACAAAAAGGCGAAAGGAGTATGGAAAGAGGAGAGGAGAAGAGGAGGAGGAGGAAGAAGAAGAAGAGAAGGGAGGAAGAGGAGAAGAAAGAAGAAGAAGAAGGAAAAAAGAAGAAAAGAAGAACAAGGAGAAGAAGAAGGCCAAAACGAAGAAAGCAAAGACGTAGAAACAAGAAGAAACAAGACGCCAGAATAACGAACCAAAGCGCCCAAACGAAGGCACAACAAACGGAGGAAGAGAGAAACCAGTTAACGACAGGTTTACCACGTGGGGTTTCTAAACCGAACAAAAAACAAAAAAACAAACAGAGAAAACACATGATACCACCTTAAAGAGAGCGGGAAAAAGAGAGAAAAAGATAATAATAATAAATCGCACTGAACCAGAACGACACAATTTTCTTCAAGATAAAAAAAGTGAGGCAATTACGCCACACTCGCTCTTGGACGAATAACTTCACTTAAAATAAAATAAAACCTGAAATTTAGTGGTGATAGCAATACCTCTAACAATAATAATAACGATAATAAGGATAATAATAATGGTCATAATCATAATCGATGAATAAAATCAAAATAAAGAAACACGAATTGTGGCACAACTGAAACTTATTTCTTTCTTCTCGTTTCTCTCTTCTTACATCTTTTCTTCCTCCTCCTCCTCTTACTTCTATTCTCCCTACTACTACCGTGACTCCTTCATTACTTCATTTTCCTCCTTTTCCTCTTCTTTTTTCGCCTTTCTTCCTTTCTTTTTATCTTTCCGTTCCTCTCCGTTCGCAAAAATCGTGACCATCCTCCGGGCCCCGACAGACGCACGCACGCACGCACGCACGCACGCACGCACGACGGCCAAGACAAGCGTCGTCACGAAACTCACGAATTTCACGGCCTCGTCTCTCCTCGCCCTTCAACGCATGATCATTACGAATTATTGAGGAGGTGGAAGAAAAGGAGAGAAGAGGAGGAGGAGGAGGAGGAGAGGTGGGAGAAAGAGGAGGAGGGAGACAGGAGGAAGGAGAGAAGAGGAGGAGGGAGAGGAGAGGGAGAGGGAGAGGAGAGGGAGAGGGAGAGGGAAGGGAGAGAAGAAGGGAATAGGAGAGAAAGGAAGAGGAAGAATAGGAGGAGAGGAAGGAAGAGGAGGAGAGTAGCTAAGAAGGAGAAGAAAAAGAGAAGGACAAAGATTAAAAAGGAATATAAAAAAACGTGTAAAGAAAGAACGAGAATATAGAGGACGACACGAAAAGAGAACGAAAAGACGGAAAAAAGGAAAACGACGAAAAAGGAGGAGCTTAAAGAGCACCTCCCCCCCCCCCCCCAAAGGACACTACGTCGAAATCGCGGCCATTCAGGAGCAATGACGCACACGCACACACACACACACCACCTCTCTCGTTCTCATTAATTTCATTCATCTCTCCTCGCGACCGCCATCTTATCCCGCTCTCGTTAAATTCCATCAAATCAAATCAAAAGAGATAAAATAATACCGATATGAATGTAGTCGCATAAAAGCTTCCATGATATCACACACAAAAAAATAAAAAAAACATGAACGCGTCTGACGTATGGCAACACTGCGCTTACACCTGTTGCCCTCAGTCACGTCCACGTAATGTCGAGTGGCAACATTCATTTTACGGAATATTACATCCCAACCGCCACGAGGATATCTACAGTGCTTAGTAGGGAGGGAGGGGGGGAGGGGAGGGAGGGAGGGAGAGAGTGAGAGAGAGAGAGGGGGAGAGGAGAAGAGAAAAAGAAAAAAAAGAAAGAAAGAAGGAAAAAAAGAAAGAAAAGGAAAGAGAAATAAAGAAAAATAAAAAAAGAAAAATAAAGAGAAATATAGAAGAAAAAGAAGAAAGAAGAGATAAACCATGATAATAAAAAAAAAAAAAACAATAACAGCCCCATTCATGATACACTGAACACCCAAAAAGACAACGTAGCCATTTTTCTTTTTAAATTGAATAACTCTTCTCGTCTCGCAACTGAATGATGTAACAGCACGGTAACAGCAGCGCCAAACCCTTATTGTCTCCAGCTGTGAAGGCCGCGTCCGCACGACTTCCTGCAGCGTGTAACCTGCCCATAGCAAGGCGCAGTTCCCGATCCAGAGCGGCAAATTGCTTTGTTTAATCTTCAAATGCAAATTACTTATTTTTGCGTTAGGATTCGGAGATGGAAAGACAAGGCCAATGGCGCAGTATTTTTCTGGACTTAAAAGACAAAAAAAAAAAAAAAAACTTAAGGAACAGGTAATTTTTTTCAGCTTTAAAAGAGACAGAAGAAACGGAAGAAAAAGAATGAAGTGCCGACCGGGCCTGATCCGACCAACCGACGCGGAACCGAGCAAACGGCCCCCATGTTGTCCTAACGCTAGAGTTCCTCGCGACGGAATGAACGAAACGTGACGCTGTAACCTCGGGAGTCGACGTCTCGGAAACGCAGAAACCACGACGAGGGTCTGCCATCTTAAAGAACGTTCCATGTTATTAATCTCTAGTTCTCTCCAAGGCAGGACTCGGGGACGGGGAGGCTCCAGGAGGGTTCAGTCAGCCGGTGCGCCGCCTTCCACGCAGCTGACGGCACCATCCAGGCTGACACCCCGCTCCGGACGACCACCCGCCTTCGGGTTACGCTCCACGAGAAACGGAGACGCAAAGCCACCTCAAACTTGACGACCCCCCCCCCCCCCCCCAAACCGACAGACGCAGACGCCGATCAGCCGTGCACGCCCGCCCGCCCTTGTCCTGCCGTCTCGGTCAACTGGAGAATGCATCGCGGGCGCTCGATGTCAGTCGCCGCTGACGCTGGTCCTCAAGACGCTCCTCCGACGCTTACCGACCTGGGAAGACTTCCGGTACTTTCGGATGGCAGTGACGTCAGCAAGCCGCCGGGTCGTTGTTCCTACGCCCACGGGATCGTCGCGAAACGAACGACCAGGGTACAAAGAGCCCCTGGGGGAACGGGGGGGCGGGGGGGCGGGGGGGGGGTGAGAACACGGAACCACGAAACGCTCGCACACGACGAAAGAAATGGTCTGTCGGTCTGGCTCTTTTTGCCGCCTCCTTTTAGTCTGCCTTTCCCTTCGTTTCTCTTCTTTTAGTCTCCCTCTCCCTTCGTTTCTCGTCTTTTAGGCTTCTCCCTTCACCTCTCTTTTAGCCCCTCCCTTTCCCACCCATCTACGGCAAATCCTATTTCATTACAATACGTAATTGCTTTTCAACCACGTCCAAATCGAAAAAAAAATAAAAGCGGACAAAATAAGTTTAAAATCTTGCTTCTTTCAGCCCTCCGCCCCCCCTCCCCCCCAAACAAGAGAAGAAGAAAAAAAAACTGCTCTAAATTGTCAGCTGATGCACGAATTCCTCCCAAACGAAGCCAAACGATCGGAAACGGATACGACAACAAACCGAACGAGCGCCGCCGCCAGCAACCGTCGGGCTTCATTCCACGGGCCTCCTTCCGCGGCAACAGGTGTGTAATGGCCACCGCGAACCCGAGCGAGAGGCGGCCGTTGTGGCGTCGGCGATTTTGGGTTCTTTTATGCCGGCTCTTGGCGTCGACGTGGTTGCCCGCTCGATCGGCCGCGCACCGTCGTCG